GCACCTTGAACAGTCACGATTTCAAACATTGTGACTATTTAAAAAGTAATTAACAGTTAATGACTATTAACTTTGAATTGTGCCTCTTGATCACACCCGATCAAATCGTGACCGTTGATCTCATCAACGGTGATCAACGGTCAACATTGCACAAAAACCAAAGTTGTCCTTCACAAGCCACGTGGGTGCGCGCAATGTGCGAGCAAATTGTGCCTCTAAAGCACCTCATTGCGCCACACACATGCGTGTGCGCATGTTGCACGGTATCAAACCCCTATACTCTCCTCTACTATTTCTAAGGAGTGTAAATCAACTCTTATTCAAATACTGAAAACAAAGCTTATAATTTTCTAATGTGGGACAAGTTCAAAACTGAATTTTGTAAAAGAAAAGCTAATTTTTCAATCAAGTGTGCAGGTGCAATTTCTAATATAATTGACCAATCAAACCCATTGGATTTAATCTCTTGTGAGATTTAAATCCAACATGATATAATTCCCCTTGTACTTTGATAAATCCCCCACCTCTCATTGTTACTAACTGTACAAATCAATAAAAATTTATAATGTGAGGGAATCAATGAAAATCCAAAACCAAAAACAAGAGGAGAAGGTATCCAAACTGCATATATGTTTGAAGGCAACCATTGACAACCAGACAAGAAGAGGAGAATGAAAGCACCTTGTACAAAGAAACTATAATAGATTAATTATTTTTTCCAAAAAATATAATAACAGGTGGAGAAGATGATCATTGTCAATAACCATACTAGTGACTACAGGAAAGAAGATAGAAAGAACAAATAGAATAATGATAGAGGATTGACACTGCAATCATGATCACGACCATTCACACTCTCCCTTTTTCTAGGCCAAAAGCATGTTTGTTATCAATTACATTGGCTCTTGTCCGGTTCCACCAATCCATACGAGATTCATTTGGGATAGGTGTGAGGGCTGTATCCCCCATGGTTATCCTTATTTGTCTTGATTCTTGAATGAAGGAACAGGTGCTTTTTATGGATATTTTTTTGAGAAGAAAATTGTAGATTTAGAAAAATTCGGTTTCTGTCCTGAGGCTCAGCATACATATCTTCATTATTTCTTTAATTCTCAATGCATTATCAATGTTTGCCTTAGCAAAGATTATACAATCATCTACAAATTGCAGTATTGGGATTGTTGGCCCACCTCTCGAAGTTTTAAATCTTAGGATCTCTTTATTTTGTTGGTCCTGTTTATTTATGAGCCTACAAAGGGTTTCACTGGTGCACAAGACAAAAATGTATGGAGACAGTGGATCTCCTTGTCTAGTGGGAGAGCCATTAATTAATATCTGAGAAGACACTATACTTGTGCATTGCATAACCCAATTAGTCTACTCCTCATGGAATCCCATTTTCCTTAACGTTTTCTCAATGGAGCTCCACTCCAGACTATCATAAGCTTTTTCCATGTCTATTTTACATGCCATTAGATCTTATTTGCTCTTCTTTCTTTTCGTTGTATCCATTATTTCATGGGCCACCGGAATGCTGTCAATTATTTATCTCATCTCCCTGGCACAAAGCACTCTAAAATGGTGCTATTATTCCTCCTAGCAGGGGTTTTGGTTTATTTACTAGAATTTTTGCTGTTGCACAAACATATTGGTCTAAATCATTTAGTGGAATCCAAATTGTTAATTTTTGGGATTAATGCAAAATAGGTTTAAACCCTTGGTCATTCTCTGTGAGTGGAAAAAAAAAAAAGTTTACAGTGTCTTCCATTGACTTCCAAATGATTGACTTGCAGCATTTAGTCCATCAGGTCCAGGTGCTTTCGTGTCTCCCATAGATTTTACCACAATCCATATTTCTTTTGAAGTCACATCTTTAATAAGGGAGTCATTTTGTCTCTCTATAATTACCTCCTCTGGTTTTGCTAATACATTCTCTGCATTTGTCAATTCTCCTCCCTTAAATTCCCTCCACCTAATTTCCATTATTATCTTCTACTTTGTATATACGGTTCCTGATTTTTCTAATGAGGGTAGAAGTATGAAAATATTTAGTGTTTTGGTCCTGTAGTCTCATCTAGTTTATCTTAGATTTTTGAGCCCAAAACATTTTCTCTATTCAATTGTTTTTGGAGAGCTACCTCATTATTTACAATATCCCTTCTTTCAAGATTATCTATTAGTTTTTCTTGGACAATTTTCAATTGGTTCATTATGTTTTACTTTTTCTCAATGATATTCCCAAATTTTAGTTTATTCCATTTCCTGATTTCACCAATTGCATGTGCGATTTCTCTTTGTCCCTTTGAACCCATATTTCTCTGCGTTCACAAATTGGAAATAATTTGTCCCAGTTCAGAATTGTTTCCCCACATTATTTCAAATTTGAAGGGCTTGCCACCGAGGTCTACTTTTTGGCCTATGTGGAAAAGCATAAGAGTGTGATCCGAGCTCAAGAAGGGAAAGTTTTCAGTGAAAGCATAAGGGTAGCTGGTCATCCATTCCTCATTTACTAATGTTTTTTTTTTTTTCTAAATTTTCAAAAATAGAATTATTATTCCATGTGTATTTGGATCCTCTCATTTCTAGGTCCATTAAGTTGTAATCCTCTATGAGATTATTGAAGCTCCTTAGGTGCATGATTCAAGTTTATAGGCCATCCCCCACATTTATCCATTGGAGATCTCATAGGTCATAGCATTAAAATCTCTAATTACCATTCCTGGTAGATCATTTGAGTTTGCAATTTCTCTTAATATATCTCATGTGGGTCCTTGGTCTTTCCTATTTGGGGGTGCATATACAAAAAGAAAAGTCCATAGATAACATCAACATTACATTACATATATTATTCTAGCAAACTGACTTAATTACATCAGAAGGTTGAACTCTAGTTTCAAACATTTCTATAATAGCTGGGTGATTATTGTGTACTAGTTCTCCTACTTCTTGGTCTTTGGAGGGTGGGTCTTCCTGCCCCCCTAACATTCCATGCAAGTAGTAGCTCCATTAATATTTTTTCCTTCAGTCAAGTAGTCTAGACACATTTCCTCTATCATGCAGGCAATTTCCTTCCCTTTGTAACATTCATCAATGGTTGGGGCACGTGGCGCTGAGGTCACAAGGGAATCAATTTTGTTTTGTTCATCATTCTGGATGATGAACCACCCGGTGTTCATCTATATATAGTGTCTGTTATTTCTCCTCCTTCCTCATCGAAATCTTCATCATCATCCTCAATATCTTCAATTTCATCATCTCCCTCATTACCCTCAGCCATGTTCTCACTTTATCCTCACTGTTAGCCTTGCCTATGCCCATTAATTCTTCTAAGTTGGAGAACGATGAAGACTCAACTCACATCAGACTTTGGGAGTGATTTTATAAACTAATTACTGGTATGTATATATAGTTATAATTATTATTTACACGCAGTATAATTCTATAGAGTTTATAATTGTTAAATTATATTTATACATTAACAAATATGCACATGCTTTGTATGTGAAAATTTTAGATGATGATGATAACATTAACAATGTCTTTCCAATTCTTATTTATCACACTTTTTTTATTTAACATGATGAATATATAATATTAGAGTTGTGTTCATTTTTTTACAAAAAAAAATGTATTTTTTCATAAATTTTTGTGTTTTTACTTTTTGTAAATTTTTATTATTTAATTATGACAATAAGGGTTGGCATAATTGACTTGAAAGGTTGAACTATTAACCAACTATCGAATAGGAAAACGATTTTATTTTTGGATCAATTTTAAATTTTGTATTTCATTTCCATCATCAATAAAAATAATTCTTATATATCATACTTATATTTTTAATATGATCAATATAAAATATTAGAAATATGCCTAATCGTTTTCTACAAAGTTTTGTACTTTTCATAATTTTTTTTTGTATTTTATCTTTTTTTCTTACATTTTATTATTTGATTATGGCATTGAGAAATAACACATTCGATAAACTCATTCTATTTGGTTTGAATAAAAAGGTAGGAAAACATATACTGTATAAACTAATTACTTTTTGAAAGCCTTTTTTTTGAAAGCATATAAACTAATTACTAGTAAGTAATTTTTCTAAACGCTTTTTATTTTTGGGAAATTATCTAAAACTCACCATGAGTTTTCAGCATTTCTATTAAACTCACCACAACTTTTCAAAATGTCTAAAACTCACCATATTAGTAAGTTTTTATTTTCCAAAACTTACCTTCTTTTAGTTCACCGTTAATGCTTCTTAACAGAGGTTTCTACATCAGCATAAATAACAATTTTCATGACCAAATTACCCTTGGATGGCGAGTTAGAGGAAAAGGGTATTTTTCATGTTTTTTTTTTTGCATTTTTAGTGTGTTGTTATAATTTCCAATGCTTTTTATAATTTATGTTTTTTTACATTTTTCTATTTTCTACAATCTATAAACTTTCCTATATTTTTTGCTATTTGCAATTTCTGTGTTTTTCTATAATATTTGGTGGTTTTTTACAATTTTTATTTTCTGATTTTGTTTTTTCAATTTCTATAGTTTCTATAATTTGAAAATAATTTTTTTTTATTTTGTTTACAAATTCTATAATTTTTTATATTTTTTGAAATTTCTGTATTTTTATGTATTTTATATTTGAAAATATTATTTTGAATTTTTTCCTTTTTTCATGTCTAATTATTAAAATATACGTATATATTTTATATTTTTCTATGAAGGTCAAAATGGTAATATATTAACACCTGATAGTTTGTTTAAATCAAATTAGTGACATGGTGAATTTTAGACATTTTGAAAAGTTATGATGAATTTTAGACATTTTGAAAAATTGTGATGATTTTAAGAGAAATGGTGAAAACTCGCGATGAGTTTTAGACAATTTTCCTTTACTTTTTTCGTTTTAACCATAATAAGTTGGATGCGGATGTAGTTAAATCCGATCCGAATCCAATCCGGTTATAGCCCTACGTACTGGACTTTTACCCTGCAAGAATTTCGATGTTGTCACACTGACTATTCATGCCTTGCTCGACCAGAGAGGCAGAGACAGAGAGACTGCAAAAAAGAGCTTCAGTGGCTTACCCACATGGCCGCGTTTAGAGGAATTCCACGACTCATCAAGCAACTCTCTCGATTAAACCCTAACAATATTTCTCCTTCTCTCCTTCCTCCACCTTACCTTATCTCTCACAGAGGAATCACTTCCAAGCTTTTCGTTGGGGGTAAAACTCTCTCTCTCTCTCTCTTGCTGCTTTGTTTAATTACCTATGGTTGGATTTTTCTTCTATTTCATTTCTACATTCTTTCCTTTCCTCGATTATTTTGTCGTTTGTGAAACAAGAACTTAGTAGTCTCTGTAAAATCGCTGTTTCAGAAACAGAAAAATACTTAGTGACAAGTAATTGATCATAGTAGAAAGAAATGATGATTAGAGACAACTAACAAAGAAAAATTCTTTAAATGGAACCAAAAGATTAAATTTTAGATTTTGGGAAAGGGTATTGATTTTTAGAAAGTTAAACAAGAAAAAAGAAGGGTAATTAGGGAATAAAACTGTGGTAAAGGGTGACATGGGCGAGTATACTTGGGCTAAATTTCTTTTCTTTTTCTTCTTCTCTTACAGAAATTTCTGGTGCAAAATAAGAAATTTTATTTGGTTTGATCATGTTCTCTACTGAAAGACCTGAGAGTATAGGAACTTCACGTCTCACTTGAATAGTATAATGATAGAACATACCAATTTACATTGTCAATTTAGTGGGTTTTCTACTTTTCTTGAAGGTGTTATTCAACTCTTAGCTAACATCTCAACAAGTTCTTTTCTTGAAATTCAGCCTTGAAACTAATGGTAGTGACCCGGATCGAAGATTGAGTTTTCAATCTAATATATATATATATATAATTTTTTTTTTTTTGGGGGGGGGGTTACAAGAGGGAAGATCACTACAGACTACACTTCACAGGGCTTAGCACAGTGACCTTGAAAGCAATGCAATCCAGGACTAGCCAATCCTGCTTGTCAAGTGAGTTTTACTGCAATAAACTCTACTTCTAAGATGGTTGGCCCCTTGATTTCCTTCTTGGTAGACTTTCACCTCTATCTGCCCCCTTCTTACAATGCTTCACATATCTGTAATGGTAAACTGAATGTGCTATGGAATGGTATTCTTTTCCTACTAGCTGTCTATGACTAATTCCAAATCACCTTCTAACCATATTTGATCCGCCTGATCAATATTCTTGTCCAGTAATGACACTTCCCTTGTAACCAAAGCCTCAGCCAAATCTATGTTGGTTCTACCTAGGAGTTTTATCTTCAAATCAATAATTCTTCCATGCTCATTCCTTACAATACACCCCATGGCATCCCTTCCATGATTCCCAAATCCCTAACAAATGGATCAAAGTATACTTGATTGTTGGTGGTGTTGGGAGAGTCCATCAAACCACTACAGTATTTCTTCTCTTATGCAATTATTGCCTGTGATCAATCTTTATGAGTTTTAAGAATCCTGCCAACATTCTCTGGGTGTGATCCACTGTTTTGGCTAGTTTTGGGACGTGATTCATAAAAATGAAGTTATTCCTTCGGTTGCAACCTTCCACAAGAGAAAGGCAGCTTTTCCCATACCCAATGTCCTTTCTGATGGCTAGTAGTCTATTCCACCAATACACAATATAACCATTCCTCTTGGTTATAGAGATGGTGTTGGTTTGTTAACATCCAGATTTTCCTCACAAAGAGGTGATGATTGAAAGTTTCATAGACACTTTCTGGGTCTTCACTGAAATTTTACAACTAGACAGAATGATTGTTTTTTATCTAGTAAATATGAACTTGACAAAAAATGTCCATCACTATGATGGCTTGTGCTATGATATATTACTCGTCTTAAATTCTACTTCTACTAAGAATTCCTTAATTTTCATCAGAAGTTATGAAAACCAGGATGGCTCATCTTAATCATTGTCATCATTATAATCTTCCTTATCCCACCTTGGTAGGTTTAGTAGGAAAAATCTTATTCCTCCATTCCTTTCCATCTAGGACTGCTACTACTTTTCCTTTGTCACCAGCTAAAAATAGGTTCTTCTTTATAGTTGTCAAAGAAAAAAAAAAGGTTCTCTTTTGCCCTGCCTTTGTTCATTTTGAACCTTCAACTTGTACCATATAGCTCCATTTCCTATGCATTCAATGATCTTTGTTTCATATGGTTAGGTATGCCAATGGGCTGGGTTCAATCATAGTTTTAAAAGGTGGTGAGGCATACACCTCAATGCAAGACAGAGCTAAACCACATTGCTTTTGCTGCCTTATAATCATTACAAGAGGCTTACACCTCAATTTTGATGATCATATGCCCCATCTAGAAATCATCAAATTGACAAAAATAAAATAAAAACTAAGCATATATTAATGTGTGATCTTATCAAATATATATCAATGTGTGATACCTTCCAAAATTTTCATAGAAATAGAACAGTATATTTACACTAAAAAAACTCTCATAATATCTCTTAATAAAAAAGTATCACTTTGTTCTCCTATCACTTACTAAATATAATAATCCTAATGTGCCACATATGATAATATTGCATCCATTCATTTGCTTACCTATGAGATTTGATAGTGGAACCTGCCAATCTAAAAACAAAAAGTGATAGTTATGATTTTTTTAAATAAAAAATAAATATAAATAAAACAACAATTATTAATACAATAAGAAAATTGAACAAAAATTTCAGACTCTTTTTGTTCACCCTCACTTAAAAGCTATTTAGTTCCAACAAAGAAGTTGTATATAATGAAAAATTTACAAATTATTTCATATTGAAAAGTGAGGGTGACTAGGGTGGGCCTTGGCGCAATGGTTGGGTTTCTTCATTGTGACCTGGGTGATTAGGGTTCAAATCTTGGAAATAGCCTCTCTGTATGTGCAGGGGTAAAGCTGCGTACATCTGTCCCTCCCCAAACCCTGCATTGGGAGCCTTGTGCACTGGGCTGCTTTTTATTTGATATTGAAAAAGAGACTAGAATATATGTAAACTAAATAAAATTATTTGTTTAGGTAGAAAAGGTTACAATGCAAATAAAATTTCAAAAACATATGATTCATATTAAAAAAATACATATCTAATAAATAAGTAAATATATAAATTGGTTATGAAAAAAAATAAGTTGTATTCCTTAGATGCATAAAAATTACAAATAAATAAGTAAAAGATATTGATATATGAATGAATTAAGTGCAAATATTAATTTAAGTAGAGAAGGTTATAAACATAAAACAAAATATAAAATAAAAAGCATGGGATTCATATTAGAATGAATATACAAATTGGTTATAAAAGGAAAAAATTGTATGTGAACATGCATACACAATTACAATACATAATTAAATTGTATTTTACATATAATTTGAGGCTTATGCATTGCCATTGCCTTTAGCCTTTTAAAACCTTGGGTAGTAAACATGCCTTGACCTTACCATATTGGATTGAGTTTGGGTCAGCCTCAATTGGGTTTTGGGCTTGGTTCTGGTCAAGGCAGACCTTCCTTGCTGATGACCCATTAGCTGAGATGCTCACTTGGCATCCCTTTGAATATGGAGGTGTGGGATCAAACCCACATAACTGCTGGTTCATTGTGGTAAGGTCAGTGGACCTCACGTGCACCCTGCTCTGTCCCCATCCCTTAATCCCCTGTAATATGTAATAATGTGATACCAAAATAAAAAAAGGCAGACCTGCCCCAAACCCAATCTGCTGGCATCATAAGGCATAGTTTTTTTTTTTTATATATATTTTTGATAAATAAGCAAGATTTCATTAATAGAAAGAATAATTCAGTTACAAGCTTCCCATGGAAAGGTGTGAACTGTGTCCTCTCCTAACAACAAGAAGAATTCAAAAGATAGAAAACAGATTCAAACTACAGTTGGGCCCAATACAACCGTTCCCTGTTTGTCCCTTGCTTTGCAAGACAATCAGCCATGGCATTTGCTGATCTCCCCACTCATTGTAAGGCATAGCTTTTCTGTATTGTTATAGTTGTGATGTTGCTTATCTAGATACTTTGGTGTTGTGTTATGTAAATTTCTCTCTTATTAGAAGACCTTTTCTTGTAATGTAAACAACTTGTGGAGCATGTGATATTGCATTACCAACATCAATAGGGCAGCTCAATGCATGAGGCTCCCACCAGTGTAGGGTCTGGTGAGGGACAGATGTATGCAACCTTACCCCTGCACATACAGAGAGGCTGTTTCCAAGATTTGAACCCTGGCCACCTAAGTCGCAATGGAGCAATCCAACCATTGTGCCAAGGCCCACCCTTGCATGTCCAACATCAATAATTTCCTAACATGTAACTACTGCAAAAAAGATTTGTGGAGCATATGATAAGGGTAACTGATTTTTAGTAGGTTCATATTATTTTAAACCCTATGCCTATAGTGTGAGTACTTTGACCAATTTATTTTCCGTATTTTCATCAGCTACTGAATGATAGCAAGGTTCAATGGGTAACCTTTCTTTTTCCTGCCTATCATGTTGGCATGGGTGTCTATAGGTTCCAATAACACCATGTTGTCATGAGAAATTGAGCATTAGCCTTCTTGGTTGATCTTCTTTTCCTTTTGGATGATGATTCTGCAGGAGCAGTTATTGCCAACAAAATGGTATGAGAAATAGTGTGTTCATCATTCATTAGCCTAAAAACTTGAAAAGCTAAATTCTTTGAGTGCCTCAAACTTCGGGCAATGACCAAAAAAGATGGCAAAAGAGTCTTGGTAAAAGATGAGGAAATTAAGGAAAGACGAAAAAACTACTTTGAAAATTATTAAATGAACAACATGTAGAGAGTTTTAATGGGGGAGAGATTAATAACTCTAATAGTGTTAAAAATAGCATGTACCTTCGTAAAATTAGAATTACTCAATTAAAGAAGGTGCGGACTAAGATGAAGAACAGGAAGGTGTTAGGATCTGATGGGATTCCAATAGAAGTGTAGAAAGGTATGGGAGAAGTAGGTTTATTATGATTGGCTAAACTGTTTAATAAGATAATAAAGCAAAAGACAACTGATTAAAGGTTGGTCAATTAGGAGAGTTTTTTTTTTTATCAATAGGAGAGATAGAATTTTGGTAACTCATCTGCAATTTGCAGATGATATTTTAGTCTTCTGTGATGGGGATTATAGAGATGGAGTGGAAAACTTGAAGTTGGTAGTGAATCATTTTGAGAGGGTCTCCAATCCAATTTGAAGATTATGGACCTAAAGATTATTGGCTGGCATCAATTTTGAGGAAGGTGTTTTGAGGGATATGGCAGACTCTTTGGGATGTGAGAAAGGGGATTGGCTGCCTAAATACTTAGGGCTACCTCTAGGTGGCACACCCTAGATCACTTAGCTTTTAGAACCCAGTGGTGGAAAGGTTTGAGAAGAGATTAGCTGGGTGAAGGAATTATATTTCTTTGGGACCGAGAATAACTTTGACCAAATCCACCTTAGCTAACCTTCCCATCTATTATATGTTAGTTTTTAGGATGCCTCAAGTTGTGAGAAAAACTGAAAAGGTTATGAGAGACTTTCTGTGGGAACCAAGGAAGGAAAGAAAGATCACTTACTTAGATGGGAGAAGGTATTGAAGGTAGAAGGGGGGCTGGGGATTGGGAATATTAGAATGAAAAATTTGGCCTTATTGAGTAAATGGCTGTGGAGATTCCCAAAGGAAAGTGAGAGACTTTGGCACAATGTGGTAGCAAGTATCCATGGGCTGTCAAACAATGGATGGGATGCTGGTTGTCTTCATAGAGCTACTCTGGCTACTCCTTAGAAAGCCATCCATGATATTCTTCTTGTTTTCTTCGGCCACATCAGCTATGACTTGGCCTCAGGTCAAAAAATTAAGTTCTAGGAAGATATTTGGATTTGGGAATCCCCTTTGATGGAGATGTTTCCTTCCCTTTATGCTCTTTCCAATCTCAAAGGTAGACCAGTGTTTGAGTTTATTTGTCTCCTTTCTTCTCTTTCTGGATTGAATCGGAATTTGGGCTTCACTAGGAATCTTAGGGAATCCGAAATTCCCTTTGTGTCTGCTTTGCTCACCTTGCTGAACTTTGTGGTTTTAGGGGATGGTGGCTTGGATAATAGGGTGTGGACCCTTAATCCAGCTGGGCTCTTCATTTGTAAGTCTTTGTTTACCTCTCTTATAGCTTCCTCATCTTCCCCTTCTCCTTCTTTCCCAGTTAAGGAAATATGGTGTACTTCCATTCCTCCTAGAGTCGGTGCTTTCTCTTAGGAAGTGTTTCATGGCTGCATTAACACTTGTGATAAGCTCTAAAGGAAGAGGCCAAACTGGTACTTGTCCCCCAACTGGTGCTGCTTATGTAAGTTAAATGGTGAGACTGCATTTCATCTTTTAATCTCTTGTCTCGTTTTTGGCTTTATTTGGAAATGGTTTGCTTTGCTTTTTGGTTGTAGTTGGCCCCGTCCTGATAGCTTGGAAGGGTTGTTTAGCCCTTTTGGTTGCAGTTGTACAAAAAGGAGGGGCATGTTGATGTGGAGTTGTACTAGGGCAGCAGTGGTATGGACAGTTTAGGAAGAAAGAAACTCAAGAACTTTGGGGAACAAGGTGAGGAGTAAGGAAGCATTGATAGAGGTCATAACCCTAAAAGTGAAACATTGGGTCAAGACCTTGAATCTTTTCTTAGATTTTAAGGTTGATGATTTTTTTTCAGGTCTTGGGGGGTTATAGGCTTATAGCTGACTCTCTTCTAGAAGACAGATGGTAATAGTGGACTTCTCACCTCCATCTAGTGGCTGGTTGAAGCTGAACTTTGATGGGAGTTGTGTGGGCAATCTAGGCCCCTTTGAAATTGGAGGGTAATCAGGGATGAGGAAGGAAATATACGTGCTTTCTTCTCAGGCCCAATTGAGCAAGGTGATGTAGCCACAACAGCAGCTGTTTTTGGACTTGAGAAATCCAAAGAATTGGGTCTTGAAACCTTAATTATTGAAGGTGACTCCAAAATAGTTGTGGACTGGCTAAAGAAGGGGGAAGGAGTGTCTTGGCACCTAAGGAATGATCTCAGGTGGTTCAAATGGCTTTCTAAGGACATGTTCATTCAAGTTAACTGTGTTAGAAGATCTGCTAAATGTTTGGGGGATGGTCTACCTATGCAAGGGGTTCAAAGACAGACTATGTTTTGGGCTCAGTTGTAATACTTTGGGGGGTTTCGACACTTTGTGTCTACTTGTTTCTTTCACAATTTCTTGGTGTTTTGCTTTCTTATATTTTTAATAAAATTAATTTCTGAGTTGCTGATCAATAAAAAAAGCAAAAAGACAAAAGAAGATGCTTGATGATGGAGGAGCACTATTATGGTGCCTATATTTTAGAACAAAGGCAACACACAAAGTTATAATAATTATAATGGGATTAAACTCATGAAGAACACTATTAAGCTTTGGGAGAGAATGGAGCAAAGGTTACAATATGAAGCAAGTATACCAGAGAACCATCAATTTGGGTTTCTGCTAGGAAAATCAATTATGGAAGCTATCTTTCTTTTGAGGTGATTGATAGAAGTTTAGAGAGAAGAGGAAAGATCTTCATATGCTGTTTTATTGATCTAGAAATGCATATGATAAAAGCCCTAGAGAGTGAATATGGTAGATCTTGGAAAAGAAATGACTGTTAAATAGCTACGTGGACCTAATTAAGGATGTGTATGAAGGTGTAACAACCAATGTTAGAACACCTGTGGGAGAGAAGAGGAAAGATCTTCATATGCTGTTTATTGATCTACAAAAGCATATGATAAAAGCCCTAGAGTGAATATGGTAGATCTTGGAAAAGAAATGACTGCTAAATAGCTACGTGGACCTAATTAAGGATGCGTATGAAGGCGTAACAACCAATGTTAGAACACATGTGGGAGAGATCAAATTTTATAGTTACAATGGGTCTTTACCAAGGTTACTAAGCTCTTATTTATTTGCACTGATCAAAGATTAATTGACTAATATATTCAGGAGCAGGTTTCATGGTGCTTGTTTGTTGATGACATTGTTTTGATTGATGATACTAATGAAGGATTAAAGTTTTTTTGTGAAAAAGTAAGGTAATTGTATTAATGAGTATAACTGTAAACATAACAGCTATCGGTCCACAAAATGCTCCATCTACAGCCAGTAACTATACAGAAAAGCCAACAAAAAACTGGTCTCTCCGGAATAAATACAAGAGACACCCAACTAAATCAAGTAAACAAAAAACCCAGATCAAAATATTGATGATGAGGGATATGCTTAAAAGAGTCCTTGGTTGACAGCCAGGAATGTATAGTAGCCATTGCCCGAACCACCAACTCATCTAAGGAGCACCTTTGACCTTCAAAAATCTAAAATCCTATTTTTTCTTTCTTTTCACAAGGCCCAACACACCACATGAGGGATCATACACCACAGCACCTTACCCCTGTTGCTTAAGCCCGTCAACTTCCAAGAGAAAAGCAAGTCAGCTAGAGATTTGGGAAAGCACCACTTGACATTTAACAGGGAGCAGAAATGGCTGAACGGCAAATGAGCAGCCTTACAATGAATAAATAAGTGATCCACAGATTCATCTTCCTCACTGCACATCACACATCTTATGGATAAATATACCTTATAAACAAGAGGTTTTAAAATAAATAGAGAGTAAAAGAGAAAATATGCAATGCAATTTGTTTATTGGAAACGTCAACTTTCATTCAGTGAATCATAAAAGAAATACAAATCACACACTCCAAAGAGTTGAGTGCTGATCCCACAAAATATGACACTATTACAATATAGCCCAAAACAGTTCCTCCCTGGTTTTCCTTGTTTTTCTAGCACATGAGCCAAGCCATTAGCTGTTCTTCTAACCCATTTGAATTCTATATGCTATGTAAATTTAATAATAATAGTAGTGCTTATTAGGGTACACTTAGAATTGGAGACCAAGAGATAACTGAATGTGACCTTGTCAGGTACTTCATTTTGATAATTCATAACAAGGGAGAGATTGAGGATGTCACTCATAGAATTAGAGCAGGATGGTTAAAATGGAGAGTTGCATCCAAAGTCTCGTGATAGAAAATACCACTTAGATTAAAGAGAATGTGTATTCTGAGATGGATGAGTGGAAAAACTAAGAATGAATAGGGTAAGAAATGAATTCATTTCAAAGGAACCTAAGAGTAGCTCTAGTAGGTGATAAAATGAGAGAAAGTAGACATAGATGGTTTGGTAACTGTATTGGCAAATGGTTTCAACATTACATGCAGCTTTACTTTCTCTTGCAATTTGATCTGGTAGTTGCTCTGAATGTTTGTTTATGACCATTTTGCAGGGCTATCGTTCTACACGACAGAAAAGGCCTTGTCAGAAGCATTTTCACAATTTGGTCAAGTGATAGAAGGTGGTCCTTGTGTTCTTTTATGGTTTTAAGTCTTCAATTAATATTTTTAAACCATTCTGTTTTAACACACTCTCACTTTCCCAGCTAAAATAATCATGGACAGAGTATCCGATAGATCTAAGGGATTTGGATTTGTGACCTTTGCATCGGAAGATGAAGCACAGAAAGCCCTAACAGAAATGAATGGAAAGGTAACCTTTCCCTGTTTGGCACACCCCTTTTCATCTATCCCTGTGGTTTACAGAACTCAGGAATCATTGTGCGGGATTTACTGCAGGTACTCAATGGTCGGATCATATTTGTGGACAATGCAAAACCCAGATCCCGTTTTGATGATGGGATGCCAATAGCAAGAGGACCCCCTGAACCAACACCTGACACTTGAATTTCCTTGTTTCTTTTTTGTTTCTCATATAGTTGATTATTTGTTATATTGGAAACGAGTCACTTGTGTAAAAGACAAAGATAATGGCCATTGACTGAATACTGGAACATAATCTTAAGCCATTTATTTTTTTCATTTAGATTGAAAATTTTTGTTTTTTTTTTTTTGCACAAGAGATGGACTCCAGAGAACTCAACTAATTGAGACCTCAACCTTGTGATGTCCATCTAACCTACAAACTACAAAGTGCCAACAATGATTGTAATTGTGCTCAAAGTCATAAAAAACATTTTAACACTATAGGCCAGGAGCATGATTCTGAGTGTGCTGAACCACAATAAATTTCTTCAACATTGAAGACGACTAAAGGTGAATGGAAAGAATTTTATTCCTCCCTAAAAGAATGCAAATTATAGTTTAATTTTGTTCTGGGTTTTACCTTATTCTGCTTCAGGTCTTATTCTACTTCATTTGTATCACAATCAAACAAAATACCTAAAATTTGAAACAAAACCAAAATCAGAAATTACATTCAAATAATTTGTATTATCATAATTTTGCATCGGTACAAATAAATTTGCACTGCAACAAATACATCTTGTTCTGAAAAAGAAAATATGCAAGCATCTCTCGTTCTAATTGGAGATAAATAGCAAAAAGGAAAAGATTGCCAAGACGGCCAGAATGTAACCCAAGGCATTTCAGGACACATTGAAAAGGACGAAATCCAAGGGATATAGGCTCACCTCTTTTTTCTTTACCCTCAAAAGAAAGTATGATTTGTATACATGACTCAAATAAATAATATTTTATTATCTATATTAAATATTGTGATTTTTAACATTACTTTTCATAGAACTATATAAGCATAAATTAAATAGTAAAGCTATTTTCACAATCGAAATTTAAAATAATTTTACTAGATAATAAAATATTATCTAATAAGTTATGCTTAAGTGTAAACAATGGATCATAAGTTATTGTAAATTGGGAAAATACAAATACTAGAGTGTCCTAATGGACATTTTGGTAAGTCCCTTTTGGTTCGCAGGAATAGGGGTCTGGAATTGGGATTGGAATGTGCTATTTTGATTCCAACTGTTTGGTTGAGTGAAATCGGAATCCTATTTTCATTCCTAATAGAATGGCATTCCCTCTCATTTGAGGGAATCACCACTCCCTGCCCCTCCCTTGGGAATGAAATCCCATTTCTGCTAGTCCAATTCCCATTCTCATTCCTGTATGAACCAAATAGATTATGGGAACAAATAATTCTGATTCCGATTCTGATTCCAAACGTTTTTTTATCCCGAATTCGATTACAATTCCAGATGCGAACCAAACAGACTCTTAGAGAATCAATGCAGTGGGCATTTTGGTAAAATGCAAAATGGGTTGCATGATTTGGAGAATTTCAACCGTATCAGTTAAATAGGAAGGAGGAAGAATTCAATGGATTCCAATTGTTTCACTTGTATCATAGTAATTCTGGCTAAGTTTGTAAGGAGTACAAATACAAATATGTATGGTGCAAATACATATAAAATATAAGGTTTTATACTCTACAAATTTGTATTTGTACTCCTTCCAAACTGAACCTCTGAAAAAAGATTAAACAAGAGAAAATTTTCATTAGTGCCAAGTTTAGAAAACTACATCAAACCAATCCACAAGATCATAAGCTTTCCCATGCCAGATTTGCATACCAAACCCTTTTGTTATGACCTTTTCAAATCCTCTACATATTCATGTCTAATTTACACCCCTAGTAACAAACTAACAATAATGAGTATAGTCTGTAATGATCGATCATGGATTTGTAACAGTCTATTGATAATATCGGTTTGAATTAGTCATGGGTTTACAATAATTGCATAGTGATTAAGTATGGTTTTGTAAGGGTCAAAGTATTGGTTTGCAATAATTGAGTATGGGTTGGTTATGGTTTGTAACATTTGAATATGGATTTGCAAACATTTGTAAAGTTGGTAAGGTCTCTGGCGGGTTGTAGCCGAGGCTGACTGAAAGAGACACTAATCTAATCCTACATGTCTGACTATCTGATCTTTCTCAAGTCTTTATCAGATTGCCATACTTTTATTGGTAAGGTCTCTGGCGGGTTGTAGCCGAGGCTGACTGAAAGAGACACTAATCTAATCCTACATGTCTGACTATCTGATCTTTCTCAAGTCTTTATCAGATTGCCATACTTTTATCTATTTATTTCTTCACAAAAATAAATTATCTATTTATTATTTGAAACTGGCTATTAGGGGTGTAAATTGAGTAGGATTGGGTTGGGAATTTGTTAAATTTTCAATGGGCCTCAACAATTCGAGTACGACATAATTAAAATTCAATCCAGCCCTATTCCAGCTATCTTCTGGCCATGAGGCACTACCTCTAAAATAGAGATAGAGGCCCAGGTTTTTTTTTTTTTGCTGACACAATTCTTTTTGTGTTGGGATGATAATTTTCCCCATCCCCACTGAGTACCCAACATCACCAACCCCTCTTCAAGTTGAGTCTTAAAACCATGGATTTGAATTAATTGATAGTCTTATTTAGTGGGGGCATGTTCTAAACATGGCCAAGAAAAAGCTTGCCATCAATGTGGTTGTGTAGGAGCTACAGCTTGATAAAGTCTGATGGAGAAGAATGGGGATACCTTGGAGTAGAAGAAGAACGTTGAAAAAATTTTGGCTCTCTAGGTTCCACAGCCTCTGCCATCAACAGTGCTCTCCCTGTCTGATATATTGGTGTATATAAACTTCATATAATAGTAACAATGTTGAAGGCATGACTGCATGAACTGACATGTCACATGGTATCGAAAGAGTTTTGACCAATCGAAACCCACTTATGAATTTTGATAAATACCATCTGATTAATTAACATATTTATGATACTGGTTGATTGGTCATAATTTTTTTTGGATATTGGTCCAACCCATCTAACATCAATACTATTATAAGAAATCTGTATGAACTAACATGTCAAATTTAGACAGCTAAATTTTTTAGCATGGAGAAAGCCCTACAGACAGTAGAGGCTGTCGAATGTAGACGGCAAAAGTTAATTAAATCGAAGAAAGCTCAACACTGGAGCACCGGTCAATGTTGTACATACTTTCTCTGATCTTATCATCTTCATCTTTGAATGGTTTCTGCAGATTGGGAATGTTTTTCAAGGGTTTTAGTGTAGAGAACCCTCTTGTAGTGGAAGGGAACTCCTCTTGTGAGAGTCAAATTAAAGGTGAAATTATCAAGTGGAATTGCATTCAAACTTCAAAGAGTGGGATTTAATGTGGATAATTGATCTTCATAACTTCTGGCCTCCATCTGCCTATTCCAATTTTGACAAATTCCCAACTCAAACCTTCCCAAGTAACACACTTGCATTAAATGCAGCTACCAATTTAAGAACTCCATGAAACAAATGGCTGGGGATTAAAAGCTGAATGTTAATCTCAGCCACAGATTGGATATCATTTATTAATTGAACAGGACATCAAAAAGTATTCTCACATCAACATGGAGATAATAAGTTGCAGTACGTTCGTTCATACGGGATTGTGCTGGATCATTCCAGTCCTGTTGGGCCGGGGTCTGAATATCAACCTGTGTCCCCCGGTGGAATGCGAGGCTCTGGCATTCAAGGAGGTTTGAGATTAGCCAGAGATGTTGGTTTTACAAGCATTTGTCTCTGTTGGATATGACAGATAAAAACGTTTTATGATTGGGAGAAACCTCAATTTGATGTGTCTCCTGGTAACCATTTTCCTATAAAAACTTTTTATGATCGTTTTGAGTTGAAAGTCTCAATCAAAAAAAAAAAAAAAAATCCCATTGGAACTCATAGATACCACCTAGGTCACCGATCAGATCAACAATAGGTTGAATTAAAACACTGATTTATATGCAATTATCATGCGATGGATCTTTTCTAGATGCTATTACATCCTAACCCAAAGCTACTTTTACACAAATACAACACAATCCAATAAGAATAGGGATATTGAACCCAATTTGGACCGATCCACAAATATTACCTATGCACAACCAGGCTATATATGTATAAGTAGGTCTACTCATGGGCCAGGTAACTTGATGGGTTTGCCCATGGGCTTGGGTTTGGGCTTTTTAAAAAATCTTAGTCCGATAATATTATAAATTAATAATATATATATATATATATATATATATATATATATATATATAGTAACAGGTAATTAGTAGGTATTAGGTAATAACTTGTATTGCTATTTTAGTAATTTTCTAAGGTATCGACCTTTCAATCATCCCAGGATTAAAATTTTGTAATGTATTGAGGCGTATCAGCCGATACGTATTGTATCAGTGATCCTTCGATATGCCCTTACTGTGAGTGTTTCGGAGTCTGACTTGCTTTAGGGGGTAGACTTAAACCAATTTTCTTGAACTAGTTTGAAAAAACTAAAAATATAAAAAATAAAAGGCAGCCAAAGATATAGGTCAATACACTTGATGGGACGTATCGGCCTGTATTGATATTTAAAACCTTGCAATTGTCTAACCCTAATTTTTTCCATTTTCCCTTCTCATTTCTCATCTTTTGTGTTTTATTTCAATACTTTGTGTGTTTTGTCTTTTGTATTATGTGATTTTTTTTGTTTGAACTTAGTAAGTATAATTGTATTTTAGGCAACAATATTTTTGTTGTAAAAAATGTATGGATAAGAATAAGTAAAAAAAAAAGGAATTAGAAGATAGAACTAAGATACGTACATCATGCTTCAATCTTTATATTAGGGCTAGGCTCGGGCCTAAACATTATTTGTGAAAAAGGGGTATAGCCCGACCTAAACCTTGCTTGTGAGAGATGTATATGATTCAATGCTAAGCCCAACCCAAAATTCAATTAAGGCCAACTGAGACCCTAACCCGTTGGGGTTGGGAAATGTGGGTTTATCACTTAACTTGATCCACTAAGACCCATAAATAGGCTAAGTTATTTATAGCAGAGACTCGAAATCAAATTCAACTATCACGAGGGTTTGTGTAGGAGTCTGAATCTACTCCAAATAGAGCACTTTTCACACTAACCTCACAGCATGTCTCGATTGCACATTGAAAACATCTTCTGTACTTGTATGT